TTACCAAGCATATCCAAGAAATCAGCCATATGTTCCTTAAAGTCAAAACAGTCAACCACAAAATGAAGCCCAACTGGTGGACCAAGGAACTACGAGCAGAGCGCCAAAAAACCAAAGCTCTAAGACAAAAAATGAAAAGTAGAACGACCGATGAAGAATGCAAAGCAGCATGGATCAACTTTAACAAGCAACGTGCAATCTACAAAAAGAAACTAATTGAAGCAAAACTAAAATCCTGGACTACTTACTGTACGAAAAATCAAACAACCTATGGAGCCCTTTACAAAATGACCACTTCCAAGATTTATAAGCCAACTCAAATCCACGCAACAACCAATACATCACAAAGTAATGGCACGGAACTCATGAGCACCACCATCAACGGTATCCTGGACCAAGTCTTCTTGAAAGACGACAGTGCAGAAGATACACCGGAGCAAAAAGAACTAAGAGCATCCACACAAACATCAAACACACCAGATGACATTCCATTCACAAGAAAGGAAATACTTCAAATAGTAAAATCCCTTAACAACGCCAAAGCACCAGGCCCCGACGGCATTAATAAGCAAGTCCTTAGCTCATCAACAAAGCATCTCCAGAAATTTTGCTCAAGTTTTACAACAAATATGTAGCTCACCACTGTTTTCCCGATTGTTTTAAAATTGGGCAAATAGTGCTCTTCTCAAAGAAGAACAAAAATCCAGAGGATCCAAGCTCGTACCGCCCGATCAATCTTCTACCAGCTATTGGAAAATTAGTCGAAAGACTCCTCATAAACCGACTGAAATATCATATATTCAAGGACAATAAAATCAGCTCTCGCCAATTCGGATTTAAACTGAATAGCTCCACCATTCATACCATCGATACAGCACTAACGCAAATCCAAGTTAACAAAGGCCAACAGCTACACTCTGCGTTGCTATGCCTCGACCTGAAGAACACTTTGACTCCCACCAAGCAGGCCCTCAGAAACCTTCAATGTCCAAGAAACCTCTATCTAACAACTGCTGACTACCTGCATAATAGAAAAGCATAGTACTACACAACAACTCTGTCATCACAAAGCAACAAGCAAGAGGATGTCCACAGGGACCTCTGCAATTTCACTTTTAACCATATTATCGACCATCACTGGCCTGCCCACACACAAATCGTAGCATTTGCAGACGATGTTGCTTTTCATCATCAACGGCCGATCCAGAGAGCAACTCCAGGAAAACTGCAATAGCACCCTTCAAATTTTCAACGCTCTATGCAAAAGAATAAAACTACAGATCTCACACCAAAAATCGCAGGCACTGACTGTCCACAAACCAGGATGAACTATAACTCGAAATCCCACATTTAAAATAGACAACCACAGGATCCGATGCATGAAAACGATTAACTACCTCAGCCTCACCATTGATAACAAGTTCAACTGGATTCAGCACTTACACAACAAAAAACTCACCACTATGAAAATAGCACAAGCTCTGAAGACAATGCGTGGTTACTCATGGGGCTTGAACCACCAAATTTTGAAAATACTACTTACAACCGTGGTTAACAAGATCATCACATATGGAGCCGCTATTTGGGCAATACCTATGACCACCAGAAAGGTGCGAGCTCTAAAGGCCATACAAAGACCTTTCCTTATAAATATCACCACAGCATTCTCAACTACCTCTAACAAAGCCCTACAGACACTGGCAGGTGTGCTCCCGCTCCCAATCCAAGCACAAATGGACGCAATCTCCACAATAGTCCTCCAACTCAAGAAAACAACTAACTTTAATGACACCACATTCCACCCAACAGAGTACGAAGATCAGCCTAAAAAGTACTTTCATCACCCAGCTTTGAATCTTCAAAACTTGCACTGCATTTTCGACAAACCACCACCCACAACGGAATACACGGCTTTCACTGACGGCTCAAAGATCAAACAAAACGTTGCCATCGCTGCAACTATCCAATATAACCTTAGCTCACACACAGAATGGCAAGGGCACCTTACAGATCTAAACAGCGTGCACCAAGCTGAACTGACAGCAATCCTCTACAGTATGCAACAGCTCCACCAACTACCAACGGACACAGTCCATATTGTCAGTGACAACCAATCATCAATCTATGCTATTAAAAATCCCTGCACAATTTCACTAATAGCCCATCAAATACAAACAATTATCAATTCCAGCCAAAAGAATTTCATTCTTACATAGATGAAAGGTCACAGCAATTGCGCCGGGAATGAAAGAGCGGACTTCCTGGCAAAGCAGGCAGCCCTCGAACAGTCAGGCACTACCATCCACATCCCATGGCCATGCTCCACACTGAAGTTTACTCTAAAAGTGATGGCCAAAGAAGAGTGGCAGAGACAATGGGATCAAGGATCGCAAGGCAGAAGGACGCATTCACTTCTCCCATGTGTCGATACTGAGCGCACCATTTATAATTATTATCTCTCTCAATATATCTCTGGTCATGGACCGTACCCAAAGTACTTCTATGAACGAAACCTTTCAGAGACTGAAATATGTGTCTGTGGCAATCCAGGTGATCCAGACCATTATTTATTTCAATGCCCAATAACAGAAGACTATCATATCCGCCATCTCACAGCACCAGGAACAGACTTCAAACGCTTCCTGATTAAAGCACCGGAAAATCCACAGTTAGTATCCAAAAACATAATTGACACACATCCACCGTCACGGCTTGGAAACTGTGTGCTCCATAACTGTTTTAATAAGTGCTTTTTCTTCTCTGGTACGAGTCGCCAGTTTTCCAATGGGGGTGCCTTTACAGTCATTGCAATAGTTTATCTTAGTGTATCAATGTCAGTACAGATTTAGAACCTAGACAATACGACCACAGTTATGCACATTAAAAATGGCATAACTGGTACTGGTGAACTTTACTGTATGTATGAACTCTGACCCAATTTATGTACTGTCAATGAACTGTGAACCATTTATGAACTGCTATGCTGTCCCAATAACATCACATTATCACAATAACTTAGCCAAGATAATACTGTTTAATGTTTTTCCATTCATTTATTTTTGTTTATTTGTGTTTATTTGTGTACATATATTTATATTTATAATTTCACCATCAACTGTAATGTATGGTATTGTATTTGTAATGTCATTGTCATCAGCAACTGTATCTTCTGTATCACAAGTTCTCTATGCCCTAATGATTAACGTTTCAATTAACACCAATGCCTGGCGTAAGTACGCCCTGTGGAGGTGTTCATCTCAAGACGATTAGTGTGAAGGAGCGACACCAGTTCTGACAATGGCGATGTGTTGGTACTTCCCACACTTAGTCCTGTCCTGTCCTGCCATATTTATTAAGTCTTCCCAAGAGGCTTCAAATTATGTTTCCTCAAATTTGTATGGATACTAAAGAACAGATCTAATATAGCGATTTCTGGGTTAAATAAAATATAAAAGTAACTTCAAAAATTGTTATAGTATTCAGAATATGATTATACTCTTTATGATTTCTTTATGGAAATAGTTTGCTTCAACTGAGAAGAACAACGGTATTGAAATTTTAATACAAAGTAAGCTTTTATGCAAACATTATCAGGGTATAATTTCCTTTGTAAAATAATATTCAAAAGGTTTATTTTTTAAGGGTCAGTACATAGAATATAATCTTATATACATATTCAAAATACTTATTTTATTTTTAAAAATACCTTATGAAAGTTTCTATGATTCATAAAAGATAAAATTTTGAAACCAAGTATTATGAGGGCTGTCTGAAAAGTTTCCGACCTCAATATGTAGATCTAGCTCAAATCAACTGAAGTGGAAGAGATTTGTTTAGGCATACCAATCAAAATATTAGCTATTTTGAATGAAAATATTTTGTTTGGGAATTATTTTTGTCAGTTGATGTGATTGTTTTTTCAAATATGGGAAAAAATCAAGTATTGTGCTGTCATTAGATACATGTTTTTGAAAGGTAATATGCATACTCAGATTAAAGAAAAGTTGGACACAGTATACGGGGACTCTGCACAACCATTTACTACTCTGAAAGTTTGGGGCACTAAAATTAAATGTGGGCATACCAACTTGGATGACGATGACCATTCAAGACGGCCAAAAACTGCAACCACTGAAGAAAACGTCGCTAAAATACACCAAATGGGGCTAATGATCATCGAATCAACATTAGAGAGATAGCAGAAGCTATTAGCATTTCTAAAGAACATGTTTTCCACATAATTAACCAAGGTTTTCATATGGGTAAGTTGGCTGCAAGTTGGGTGCTGCGTTTCGAACCAAAAACGTGCCTAAATGAACGTGTGCACCATTCTGTTGGCACAATAAATCGGAGTTTTTCGACTGTTAATCACTGTAGATCAAACCTGAATTCATTATTACAGCCCAGAAACAAAAAGACAGTCAAAACGGTGGACTTCTAAGAGAGAATCAGCTCCAAAAATGGCAAAAACTATTCCTTCTGTTATGAAAGTGATGGCAACAATTTTCTGGGACAGCCGAGCCATACTATGCAATGTTACTTGACAAGCTGAAGGTAGGAATTAAGGAAAAACGAACAAATTTGCAAAAGAAAAAAAAATTGTTTCGTCAAGACAGTGCTCCATCTCACAACTCAGCAGTTGCAATGGTGAAAATCCATGAATGATCTGAATTGCTTGACTATCCACCCTATTCGCCAGACCTGGCACCAAGTGACTTTTTTTTTGTTCCCTAAGCTAAAAGATGCATTTGGAGGGCAAAGGTTTTCGTCAAATGAGGAGCCATTACAAAAAAAAAGATTCCACATATTATTTGGGCTGGTTAAAAGGATGAGAGCATGGCTGGAAGAAATGTATAGATTTACAAGAAGACTATGTCAAAAAATAAAGGTAATTTTGGAGAAAAAATATCTTTTTCCTTTGTTAGGTCGAAAACTTTTCAGACAGCCTATGTATTAACTAAAGGATTAATATAAAATTCTGAATAAATGAGAAAACAAACCTAGGCATCCAATATCACCATCCAAAGCAATATAATTTAAGCTTTGTTTATGAGCTTCCCTTTCACGCTGATCTTCTTGTGTCCAATCTCTAAGATCAAATAACTTCTTCTGCCGAAACTCAGCATTATCATCAAATCTACATTTAGCATCCAAGCAGTATACTGAAATGAATATTAAAATCAATTAAATTAAAATATAAATGGAATTTTCAAAATTTTAAAAGTGACAAAAGACTGCATGAAAATCAAAAATTAGTTTTCAGATTAAAAAGAAAAATTTTACAGAACAAATCTGATACGATTTTCAAAATGATTCACCTATCAATTAGTGCTTATTTCTACAGCTTTTAATTGCGATTAGTTTACTAAATGAAAAATGTTTTCCAGGTATAGCCCATTAATAAAATTGATTTTGCAATAATTCAACCTTTTTTTTTTTTTTTTTTTTTCTTTTGCACATTTTTAAATCTGAAAGCATGAATAATCACCTAATCACCATAAATGTTGTTCTCTTGCATAATATAATGAAACTAAAAAGGAGAAAAATGTTACACATGTTGATGTTTCATAAAGTGTAGGTCCACGATTACAAAAAAAGTGGTCATTCACAGCCCATTGCACCATATATGCGACCATCTTTCCGAGTTTTGAGGCCTGTGATCACACAGGTGTGGCTTCAAATAGGAATGTTTAGGTTTTTAAATGATGCCAGATGGCAGCCGATGTCTGATACATTTTCGAATAATGTTCAATAGAGCACTGACCTTCAATATGCACTTTGGTTCTGAGATTTTATTTTGCAAGATTAGATGAATTTGAACATGTAAGAAACTGTCATGTTCTATTCTTTTAGGAGGATATATGCTAATAGGACCTTCATAAATGTGAATAGTTCATATATTTTGTTATACATTTGTTTGGATATAGCATGTTGTTTAACTCGTAATTTCTTCATATTTTTAAACTGTCCCCCCCCCAATTGTATATTAAATTTTTAAGATTGTGGAATTACGTCACCATCTTCAATGGTTAGTTTTCAAGACTTGAACCAGAAAATAAGATGCTATTTTTTCGTACAACTCATTGCCTTCTTCATAGTTTGTACAATTTAACATTCCCTCCCCCCCTTTATTTTTTCACCAATAGACTTACACCTAGAAAGTGCTAGCTTTTTTTAACTGCTTTTTTTTTTTTTTTTTTTTTTTTTTTTTTTTTTTCATTTCTATTTGTAAACCACTGACTATCCCAGTTTGAGAAACCACTTTTCTCACTTCCTGATAAACCCATAAACAGGGTTCAATTAAATTTTGACAACCCTTTTTGGAATTCATTCTTTTAACAGCTTTAGGCACCTTTTGATTTTCTGAATAGAAGCTTACAGAAATGGTAAGTTTTTCAGAATTTTTAATTTTACTGGATTCACTTTTCAGCAATTATAATTTTTCCCAAAAAGAAAAAGAACAAAGGGTAACATAGAGCCATCCCTTTTGTACTATGTACATCGACTGTGAACAATTTAGTCATTTTTCAAATTTTAGAAGTTTTTTTCTTCTTTAATTCTTGTGTTTAGAGTCTATCTTTTTTGAGCTCCTTTCAGCATTTCTATATTATTTGTTTCTCATTTTTTCCTTTGTATATTTTTTTGTTTGATTTGAGTATATATGCATGTAGGGAAAAGATCTGAGCATTTGAAACTCATTCAAATTTTTTTTTAATTTATTATTTAAGTATTGAAAATGAGGTTTAGTGTTGCAAGTGGTTCAGAGGAATGAAAGGAACTCATTAATCAACTTGGCTTAAGGCTTCAAAATGCTTTTCCCTTGACAGGTTCTGTTTGAAGCGTTAAACAGAGATTAATTTTAAGGGCAATTTTATTGCAATTTGTATTTTTATAATATCATGTTCTGTAGTTTTTTTTTTTTTTTAATTTTCTTTTACACTTCCCTTTAACTGTACCCTTCATTCACATTTACTTGATTTTTGTAACCACTTCCCAGAGAGAGAAATAGGTAGACCTTTATATTTTTCGGAACTAAATTTATATTTAATTTATGTTCCGACTTTTAACTTTATTATTAATTTATTAAGATCTAGCAGCTTCAGCAGATTTGTCTCTTTTCTTTTTAAATTTGTTACTGCTTCAATTATGACTATTCTTTAGAATATATATATAGAGAGAAACGTAACATTTCTTTTTTAATTCGCCATTTTTTTTAAACATGAAAATTTTATTACAGCATATTCAGATAATATCAATGATAATAGCCTATAAATTTCAATGCATTTAATTGCCATCAAAACACCCATATCAGGAAACTATTATATCTGACAGTGGCAGAGAGAATAATTCTCTACGCAGCAGTCATATGGGCACAATCAATGAGCAGCCGAAAGACCAAGCTACTGACCACAATTCAACGGCCGTTTGCATTAAACATCTGCAGAGATTATCGCACAACAGCGTCCGGCGCCGCCACAATACTTGCAGGCCTGCTGCCATTACACATAAAGGCAGAATCAGAGGCTACCTATGTATGAATCACCCATCACAGACAAGAAGCCACATATGCAGGAATTACGTTCAGAACAACGACTATGAACTCCCTGGCAGTGTGCAACACATCCATCCTGCCATCAAAGGTAGAGGGATCCATGTCAAAATCCAACATCAGCAATCGCACTCCAGACAACACACTTCCTCTGCGATTACACAACTGTTCACTGATGGATCAAAACATGATCAGGGAGTGGGCTGCGCGTTTGCTCACTACGAACATGGCACACTAGTAAAGGAATCGAAAGGACATCTCACTAACAGCAATAGTATCTTCCAAGCAGAGGCACTAGCAATATTGAATGCGCTACGACATGCCCTCAACCTTTCCCTTACCAATGCGACTTTTTACACGGACAGCATGTCAGTGCTACACGCACTCAGGGATCATCACCACACTTCACCCATCATCATAGATATACAGCAACTTTTACGCAATAATCATCAAGCCCGTTTTAACATGGTATGGGTGAAAGGACACTCCGACAACGAAGGGAATGACGTCGCAGACCGACTGGCTAATGAGGCTGCCAACAACATCCACGCTCAAACTATAAGAGCCCCTACCCCATCTCACACCTCAAGAAAACTCTGCGTAATATCCGTAACGAAAAGTGGCAAGAAAGATGGAATAGTGGCGACACAGGGAGAAGGACGTATAACTTCCTACCAAAGGTAGACATGGAACGTCTTATAACAATAGCCCCACTGACACAGTACATAACGGGTCATGGCCCATTTCCATCTTATTTTATGCGTCATGGCATCTCAGCATCTGACAATTGTGTCTGTGGCATGCTAGGTTCTCCCGAGCACTACCTATTTGACTGCAGTCTAACAAAAAACCACCACTTACCACATCCAACGAATGATAGAACACTTTACTATCGTTTCATAATCAAACACCCGCCAGCTATAAGGAGTATCTGCACAGTTGTACAGCAAATCAACGCCCTAGGGCAAGACATTTGCAAGCCACAATAGCATGGTACTGCAGACAATGTACTCAACGATTAGATATTCACAGTATGTACACATTCTGTAATACACATTCCACATTCAATTTCGAGCCTCATGTTAACAGTTCCTTTCAATAGCCAGCAACTTGCAGAAATAATGTTACTGACATGTTTATCTGTGTAAAGCACTGGGCACCCAATGGAATGATGTGTTATCGTAAATCGAAATATATAATATCCGTACAATGCACGAATGTAGTGTATGCAACGAAATATGTAAATCATGCAACAGATGCCCCTAATGAAAATATGTACATTATGTATTATGGGAACTGAGCATATTTCCGCACAGCGCTACTGCTTTACGCACACCTTACTATGTCTCATATGTTTCTTCTGTGTGTAATATTTGCATTTATGTGCTCTACGTGTTTCCATATGTATTCTATGTGTCATGATATGTATCTCGTGTGTGTTTTTATGTCTTTATGTTACGTAATTACGAGTGTGTTTTTATGCTTTTACGTTTAATTTTGTATATCTATGTGTTTCAGCTTATATAAGTGTTTTAGTGTTTTAATGCTATTCTTTATATTCTTTTTAAGTTACTTTGTGTTATTAACAACGTCTTATGTAAAAACTACTCGACATCTAGCCCCTGTATGGCCATGTAAACTCCCGGTGCAGCCTCACGGGGCTCCAGCGAGTTGCTTCTTCGAGATAGTGGAGGACGTGGGACATATGCCTGTTTACCTATGTTATACGCCAGGCGTCCCCGTCCTCCGTCACCTGCCATAATGATTTTAAATGAAATTAGGCTTAACTGGAAAAATCAACCTATCCTGTGCATTCACATACTTTACGAAGTGCTCAGACCTGAGGGAGCATTTCTTTCTCCTTTCATCAGTCCTGAACATTTTACTAGCTTGATTATTTGGTTTTGGAAGTATAAACTTTTAGAGAGCATTTAAATGGTAAAAGATCAAAAAAGGCTGCTTCTAAGTCAAAGGTCTAGATTACTGAATTATATCTGTGGTTAGTTCAAAGTTCTAAAAAGTGTTTTGTTAGCATAAAATTATTGTCTTGGTATTGTTGATGTATGCTAAAGTTTGAATTTCAAGATATCTTAGGACACAAAATTTAAATAATAAGTATTACATTAAAATATGTATATGAAAAATACTCAAAACATGCAACTTTCAAACAGTTAATTATTCAGGCAAATATGGTACAGTCAAAAGTCGTTAATTTGGACACCCATAATCTGGAATGATCTATAATCCGGACCTCAATGCTACAAACTTTCTGCGCGACGCATGCACATAGGCGTTTGTTTACGCATGCACGTAAGACCTTTACGGCTACGCATATGCGTGTGCGCATGCGCATAATACGTTTATTCATGTGCGTTTAATGTATAATGGATGGTATAAGCTAAAATTATCTAATTATCTATTTCAGTTAATCTTGCAGATTGCGTTGTTCTTTAATCTTCGAATTGGATCCGGCTTATTATTTTTTGCAGACTGTTAGAGCAATTTTATAAAAGTAAGCTTGAACTTTCGATTATGTCAAATAGAATTTCCGATGTTGGAGCTCCCAAAGGCTCTACAAAGCGAAAGTATGTTTCGATGTCCATCAAACAAAAAGTGGATA